TATTTATACTAGCTGGGCTTGGTGATGAATCATCAAAGAACAGTTCTACATATTTTGCTGGTAGAATTAAACCTAGCCATCTGTCTATTACAAGGCCTTGAATTGGATTAGTGTTGTAACACTTGAGATTTAATATAAATGGATTAATAGTACTACTCATACCAAAAGAGGTGCATCTCCTTTTAAGGGAGCTCATTACCTAAGAACTCCAAAGTTAAGCGTGCTTGCTCGGGAGTAGTCTTGGGATGGGTGACCCCCTGGGAAGTTTCTCAGGGCGCGCATGACTGAGGACAAAGTGCGCGGTAAAGGCTCATGGTGGTTTGTGGGGACAGTACTATTGGTCCGGAGTAACTACCTCGGGTCCGGTGGGTCCGGGGTGTTACAAGTGTCCTGATGACAAGGATGAACAATTCACACTTGTCATTCTCAGGAATTTACAACACTCCCCCTTGAATGTTCATCCTTGAATATGTATTTGTTATTTTAAAAACTTATTTGTGAAAATTAAGGGGTAAAGATTACGACATATAATGTCGTTGTATTTGGATGTACTGTCTCGTTAAAAACCTTATCAGGAAAAACCCAGTGGGATAAAAACCTGATGAAGGAAAAAAGAGTGCAGTGCATTCAAATACTCCCCCTGAATTTAGCATAAATTATGAAGGCGGCGCATGCCGATTTTCTGTACAAGTTCTATGAACTTCTTCGGGGGCAATGACTTGGTGAAGAGATCAGCTGGATTTTCACTGGATCTGATTTGTTGAATGTTGATCGTCCCTTCTTTCTCCAAATCATGTGTAGAGAAGAACTTTGGTGATATGTGTTTCGTTCTGTCTCCTTTGATGTAGCCTTCTTTAATCTGAGCTATGCACGCAGTGTTGTCTTCGTAGATCACAGTTGGGTGACAAGTAATAGGCTTCATACCACATTCATTTTGGATGTGTTGAATCATAGACCGCAACCACACACATTCTCTTTCGGTTTCATATAATGCAATTAACTCCGAATGATTTGATGATGTAGCTGTCAATGTTTGCTTCATAGATCTCCATGAGATTGCGGTGTTACCATAAGTAAATACGTACCCGGTTTGTGATTTTGCCTTTTGAGGATTTGATAAGTATTCAGCATCTGCATATTCGATTAAAGAAGCTTTTGCATCTTTGTTGTAAAATAGACTGAGATCAGTTGTACCACGGAGATAACGGAATATGTGTTTGATCCCGTTCCAATGACGTCTTGTTGGACATGAACTGTACCTAGCTAATAAATTTACAGAAAATGCAATATCTGGTCTAGTATTATTAGCTAAATACATAAAGCTCCAATAGCACTCAAATATGGTACTTCGGGACCAAGTATTTCTTCGTCGTCTTCTCGGGGACGGAATGGATCATCGTGTATGTTGAGAGATCGAATGACCATTGGTGAAGTCAAAGGATGAGCTTTGTCCATATAGAATCTCTTCAAAACTTTCTCGGTGTAATTGGATTGATGGATGAAATTTCCATTCTTCAAATGCTCAATTTGAAGTCCGAGACAAAATTTGGTTCTCCCGAGATCTTTCATTTCAAATTCTTTCATAAGATATTTTGCAGTATTTTCAATTTCATCGGGAGTTCCAATAATGTTTAAGTCATCAACATATACTGCAATTATGGCGAATCCCGAATTTGATCGCCGAATGAAAACACATGGACTAATTGGATCATTCTTATATCCTTCTTTGAGAAGGTATTCACTGAGACGATTATACCACATTCGTCCAGATTGTTTTAGTCCATACAATGACTTCTGTAATTTAATGGAAAACATGTCTCGAGGTTTCGAGCTATAAGCATCAGGCATTTTAAATCCTCCAGGAACTTTCATATAAATGTCTGTATCGAGTGAACCGTATAGATAGGCGGTCACTACATCCATTAGGCGCATTTGCAGTCTTTCAAAAACAGACATGCCAATGAGAAACCTTAATGTAGTTGCATCAACTACTGGAGAATAGGTTTCTTCATAATCAATTCCCGGCATTTGAGAAAAACCTTGGGCAACAAGTCGGGCTTTATATCTAACAATTTCATTTTTCTCATTGCGTTTACGCACAACTACCCATTTAAAACCCACAGGTTTTACGCCTCTTGGCGTAGGGACTATCGGTCCAAAAACATCACGTTTTTCAAGTGATTTTAATTCAGCCTGAATAGCTTCATTCCATTTTGGCCAATCGTGTCGTTTCCGACATTCTTCTATTGATGTTGGCTCATTGTCATTGTTTTCATTCATAACATTTGTGGCAACGGCATAGACAAATATCTCATTAATATCAATATCTTTTCGATTCCATTGCATTCCAGTAGAAACATAATTTATTGAAATTTCATAATTATCAACGTTTCTATCAGTATCTGTAATATCTTCCTCTTTTAAGGAAGTTGAATCGTTATTTGAGATGTTTGTTTTGTCAATATCATTTTCTATGCCAGTATTTTCAAATTGTTCATTTTCTTGTTCAGAAGGATGAACATCTTTGGCATCACAGATCAATTCCTGCCTTTTAGTCTTTCTTGGTTTTATGTCTTTTGATCCAAGTGGCCTGCCACGCTTTTTGCGTATAGAAGAATCATTTGCGAGAGATTTTTCAGAATTCTCCGCTGGAATTTCAATTCTGGCAGGGGCATTTATAGCAGGAATATGTGACTTTGTCACTTTCTTTGTGTCTGTGAATGCATCAGGCAACTGATTTGCAACATTTTGTAAATGGATTATCTTTTGCACCTCTTGCTCACATATATTTGATCCAGAATCAAGGTGTGATAATCCTGTTGCATTCCATGTTATTTCTTTCGTACATGGGTCCGATTTATTAGTTTCTCCCCCTAAGGTTGGGAATACTGTCTCATTGAAATGACAGTCAGCGAACCGTGCGGTGAATAAATCACCAGTCATCGGTTCAACATATTTTATTATTGAGGGAGATTCAAATCCAACATAAATTCCCAACCTTCTTTGAGGACCCATTTTTGTACGATGAGGTGGAGCAATCGGAACATAAACAGCACAACCAAATATTTTTATGTGTGCTAAGTTTGGCTCTTGTCCAGTAACTAATTGCATTGGGGAATATTCATGATATGCAGTTGGTCTAAGCCGAATCAAATTTGCTGCATGCAAAATAGCATGTCCCCAAGCTGATGAAGGTAAATTACACTTCATCAATAATGGTCTAGCGATTAATTGTAATCGTTTAATCAAAGATTCAGCAAGACCATTTTGTGTATGGACATGAGCAACATGATGTTCCACATCAATCCCAATCGACATACAATAGTCGTTAAATGATTGGGATGTAAATTCTCCTGCATTATCAAGTCGGATTCTCTTTATAGAATGATCCGGAAAATGAGCTCTTAATCGTATAATTTGAGCGAGGAGTTTAGCCAATGCTAAATTTCTAGTCGATAAAAGACTAACATGTGACCAACGTGTTGAAGCATCAATCAACACCATAAAATATCGAAATGGTCCACATGGTGGGGCTATCGGCCCACAAATATCTCCTTGAATCCTTTATAAAAATGCAGGTGATTCAGTTGCAATTTTGTTCATAGAAGGCCTAATGATCATTTTGCCAAGAGAACAGGCCTTACAAGGAAAATCACTTGATAATGGAACCCTAATATTGTTTAATGGGTGTCCAAGTGAAGTCTTAATGATTTTATGCATCATTACATGGCCCGGGCGACCTAAACGGTCATGCCACAACATGAATGTTTTCTGATCATCTAACTTTGTGTTAGAAACCAAATTTATTTCAAATGGACTAATATGAGTGAAATATAGTCCCGAGGAATAAGCTGGCATTTTTTTCACAAATATATTTAGTGCCTGATTTAGTTGTCGTAAGACAAAGATATTCCTTTTGGTTTTCATTCATGGTTTCTATGTGATAACCATTTTGACGCATGTCTTTAAAACTTAATAAACTTCTCCGCGATTTGCTGGAGTATAAAGCGTCATTTATAATTATTTTTGTCCTGTTAGGGAGCATCACATATGCTTTCCCAGAGCCTTCAATGAGCTTCGCAACACCTGATATTGTATTGACTTTAGCTTCAACTAAAGTCATTTGAGAAAAATATATTTTATTTCTCAAAATGGTGTGCGTTGTGGCGCTGTCTATCAGACATAGCTCTTTATCATTTGAGTGATCCATATCTTCAATATATACAAATAAACATAAGTTTGATATGTAGATATCACAAATTATGCATATTATTTAACATAAAAGTACATTTCTTAGACACATTTATTTAAAAACAAAATAAAAGGGGAAGAAAGAAAAAGTACATAAAACTAATATGTTACAACATAAGAAGTCGAATATTTTATTTTGTGACATTTTGGTTTATGGCAAACGCATCGTCCATAATGGCATCATCCACAAAGAAGTCGGACACGTCAAATTTTGGCAGAGGTGGAGTTGTGTCATTAACATAATTAGCTTCCACATTTTTGCCTTTGTTCAGATTCATGGAAGCTTGAAATAACTCCACCAGATGTTTAGCCGTGCGACATTTATTAGCCCAATGCCCCGTCATGCCACATTTATAACAAGTCGACTTTCCCGAGGATTTTGGAGGGCGATTTATTTGATGGGCTTTTTGTTTGCCCTTCCCCTTGTAATTTGGTCTTTCAACCTGTTTGTATTCTCGGTGTGACTTGTTTCTATGACCATTAAAATGCCCACGTTTAAAATGCCTTCTACTGCCACTGTATGTTGCATTTGATTCAGTGGCTAAATTATGGCCAGGTGGACCATAAACCGAAGGACTAGAACCAGTGGGTCTCAGATTATGATTTTTCATCAAAAGGTCATTATTTTGCTCAGCGACCAGTAAAACTGATATAAGGTCAGAGTATTTTTGAAAACCCTTTTCTCTATATTGCTGCTGTAGCAGCATATTAGAAATATGCATTGTAGAAAAGGTTTTCTCCAACATATCAGCATCAGTGACTTTTTGTCCACATAACTTTAATTTTGATGTTATTTGGAACATAGCAGAATTATAGTCACTGATAGATTTAAAATCCTGGAATCTTAAATTGATCCAGTCATACTGAGCTTTTGGCAAAAGGACCTTTTGCTGGTGGCCATACCTCTCATGTAGATTGTCCCATAATTCTTTTGGGTCATCAACCAAAAGATATTCAGATTTGAGACTTTCATGGAGATGGTGACGGAGGAAAATAATAGCTTTAGCTTTGTTTTGGGCAGATGACGGCTTTCGGCTTATTTGCCTCAATAGTGTCTTCAAGACCATTAGCCTTCAAATGTGCTAAAGCATCAACTTTCCATTCCAGGTATTTTTGTCCAGACAGATCAAGAACATCGAATTCTCTTTTGCTTATGTTTGCCATGATACTACAAAAATTATTGAGTTAAATTAAATTATTAAATATATATACTCGTTTATATATGTAGTATCTGTTATCTATTAATAGCATTACATAAATGATATAAATATATTGCTATTAATAAAAAACAGTATTGAAGTATATTTTTTCTTCTTAAAACTTCCTGTCCGAATTAAGCAAGTAATATTTGACTCATGAATTACTAACGGTATCTTTTGTAAAAACATAACACATGTACATCGTATGCCTATATATATTAATGAACTACACGTATTATTAAATACTTCGTATTAGAAACTGGTATTTAAAATGAATCATGTTAAAGATGAATAGTAGAGCAAACAACAGATGGAAAAACTAATGAACTGGTAGAGTTCTCATAGTTAGGAGCATAAAACTAGTACGAAGTATAACCGAACTGTTCATTATAATAAAATTTGTCAAATTTTGAATTTTAATGCATTTTCGTATATTGTTTAATATTATTGTAGTTAAAAATCGTACTCTATACGAAGTATATAACATTAGGTCATAAATAGGGAGTGTATAGAACTACATATCATATCTCTTCTATTACGGATCGGAGAACTACATACTATTATTGACATTAAGCCATCAATATACCAAGTGTATTTACCAATCGACGCATAGTTCATGAAAATAAAAAAATGGACTTGAGTGCTAACCGTTAATAATCAACACACCGACCGATTTCTTAATATTTAAAAAGCATGATAAGGACAAAATGAGCGCATAGAGCTACCAGCATAAATAACTTCAAATTGTCAGGTATATGTGAAACGTGTCCACTATACAGCTACCGGCCGGCCATATCTAAGAGTTGCTGCTTCTGTCGTGGCTCTCCAGTATTGTCTATTCCTATTTAATTTTCTTTGTTTGGTTACAAAAAGAGCACAGCCATGATTATTAATTAGGTGCAGTGACCTGCATGCATGTGAACTTGTGCAGACTACCCGTGACTCGAGTTTATTATTGTTAGTCTATCTTATGAAATAATATATATATCTACCGGGTTAGACTTCAAGCATGTTTCACACATCTAATTTTAATTTATTCCTTGCCTACTCCCGGTCTATACTTTCTGAACTAGTACCGATCCTCCTTAATTGTTTTGTGAAAGTTTCTTTATACTCCGTATCATTTTTCCTGTTTCTCGTTTACTAGCTATCCGAACTATTCCTTCTTTCTTCTAAAAACAACCAGGTCATTATTCTGGTGCTTTTATACCAGTCCACTTTCATTAGAATTTACTTCTTTTGTAAATGATCTGTAACCTATTTCAGCTTTTCATCTTTCTTACTCGGTATTAGTATTATTTATGTACTCTTTATGTAGTATTAATTAATACTAGTACTACATATTGGAGGGTATTATGAATTTCTTCTTCTACGAACGAGACTACGAACAAAAAGAGTATATATCGACTTTTAAAGGTACGTATATGAGTTATGTCTAACCAATATAATTCTAATTTAATCATATAATATACTTTTCCAATTTTCAATATCATTTTGCTTTGTTCAGAAATTTGGTGAAAGGAAAAGTAATACTGAGTCGTACATACATAATTATGTTTATACCTGCAGGTGGATGATTTCCTGAAGAGTTATGAGCAGATTCGTGCTGATAACGTGTTGTGAAATGAAGAAGATGTAGAATAGATTAAGAGATAGATATATAGATAAAAACTTCTAAATTACTTCTTCTTAATATATGAAATTTCTGAGTATCTGAATTGAATTACAAAGGATTGATCAAGCCCTATTTATACTAGCTGGGCTTGGTGATGAATCATCAAAGAACAGTTCTACATATTTTGCTGGTAGAATTAAACCTAGCCATCTGTCTATTACAAGGCCTTGAATTGGATTAGTGTCCTGATGACAAGGATGAACAATTCACACTTGTCATTCTCAGGAATTTACAACAAAACTAATATTTTCCTTCAAAACAATTGAATAAATATATATACTCCGTATAGTAAGCAATAACACGTACTATAACTATAATTGCTGTGACGAGAAATCAGCATGTCAGGCCGGCCTGACGGGCTGCCCCGTCCGGCCGAGCCCGTTTGGGCACCTTCCCGGTGGAATGTTTTGATGAAAGTTTTTGAGCATGTTCCTCATCGAGTCTAGTTTGTCCATACCAAATTTCAGCTCAAAATTCGATCGGGAAGGTCGTCAAATGATTTTTGCAAGTTAACTGGTCCGGAAAATACACATATTCCGGACCAGTTAACTTGCAAAAATCATATGACGACCTTTCCGATCGAGTTTTGAGCTGAAATTTGGTATGGACAAACTAGACTCGATGAGGAACATGCTCAAAAAATTTCATCAAAAAATTTCACCGGGAAGGTGCCCAAACGGGCTCGGCCGGACGGGGCAGCCCGTCAGGCCGGCCTGATGAGAAGAGCTCTCGTGCTGTGACTAATCTAGCTGATGTGGCAATTCATGTAGTGTGTGATGATGTGGCGGTCCTTGTGTTACAATTCCTCAAAGCAAATGAAAAGAAAAGGCCGCCTAATCAAAGAATGTTCTTTTCAAATAATTCAAAGAGATCCAACCTAAAAGCAAGCTAAGGTTTAAAATGTTGGCAGAAGAATAAAGGAACCTTCAGCTTGCCTTGATAATGAAGCAATTATCCAATCTTTCCATAGCCGCAAAGCCCTAACAGCTATCTTAGTTAGCCTTGCAATCAAGAAAAGAACAAATGGACTTTAAATATCTGCCCACAAATTCGACAATCTGCTCACAATTAGCCCCTAATAGTTTCTTGAGTTTCATCATTAACTGATCAGGATTTTTATACAATATTATACGAATTAAATCATTTCTCATAGGACATATTGATCGAAGCATATAATTTCTGAAGGAATATAATGGCAAATATTCGCGGACCGGTCGCCTCTTTACTTTTGGTGCTGAATTTCTGCATGTATGTTGTGCTCTTGTCCATCGGCGGGTGGGCTATGAATAGAGCCATTGATGAAGGCTTCATAATTGGTAACTATTTCTATTTCGATTTAACGTTTTGGAACACTTATTGTAAAAAGCTAGACTAGAAGCATATCCAATGCAACAATGTACACCGTGTACATATGACATAAGGGAGATGCGGAAAAATAAATTATTCACATTTCTTTCTCTCTCTTTTTTCATTATTTATAATTTTTGGTAACTTTTTGCAATAATGTATACCAGAATATCTACATCTAGACACCTGATTTGACATATAGTAAATAATTCACCAAAAATATACAAGATCTTTCAAATAAGGAGACATATATATTGTTCATTAATATACTACTTCCGTCCTGAAGAGGTTTAATTTGCCGTATCAATTTTTATTGATCAATGGTGACAAACATCTCTAGTTTGTGGTGTTTGGGTTTAATTTTTGAATGACATACGTGCATATATCCAGGTCAAGGACTTAAACTCCCAGCGCGTTTCTCTCCGATAAGCTTTCCGTTTGGAAATGCGGCCACCGGATTCTTCGTCACGTTCTCCATGATCGCTGGCGTCGTTGGAGTGGCATCCGCCATCGCCGGAATATCCCATATCCTCGGTGGGAACTCCGAGACTCAGGCTGCTGCTTCTGCTGCCGCTGCTTCTGCTGCTACTATTGCTTGGACTCTTACTGCCCTTGCCATGGGGTAAGGGAATTTTTTTTAGTACAACATTACAACCCCATTCCTACCATTAACATAAATAGACCACATTTGACCTTTCAATGATGTTCAAAACTCAATATCTTGACTTAAAGTTAAATAAATATGCGCTTAAAATCACAATATTATTGGACTCGAGTGTACGTGGTTTACTCTTTCATCACTAGTCAACAACATGACTCTAATGTTGCTTTAATTTGAGTTTGTTTGGAGAAAAATGGAAATTATAATTACTTTTATGGTTCGTGGTACATCATGAAATGGAAAGCAAATAAAATGAAATTTTATAAATCTTTTAAATTACCTAGGTCTACATCTGTTTGTTTATATCATAAATTCAAACAAATTATCAATTTGAAAAAGAAAGAGCACAATTGTCCAAAGGAAGAGTACGTGAGCACAATTTGTTCGAAAATTTTCTTTCCTTTCACGTATTTATTTAATAGCTTGTTCACAAACATGTGTATGAAGTATGTACAAAAAAGTGTGTTGAAGAAGTAGGGCTGTTTTTATTTTCCCTACATATAATTTGGTGAGTTACGTTCCAAATTACTCTGTAGTAATTTAAACTCCCATGTCAAACTAATTAATTTATGCATGTTTTACAGGTTTGCTTGGAAAGAGATTCGGCTTAACATTAGGAATTCCAAGCTGGTGATCTGAGTGTTTAATTTTTCTTTTATTATATTTATTAATCCGTAGTATTAAACAAATCCACAATATATTTTCGAAATTATAAGTGCTGACAATTAATTCTTTTTATAATTGTGATTATGCAGAAAACTATGGAAGCATTCACGATCATTCTGACGTTTACTCAGCTCGCATACATATTGGCCATTTATCTCAAGAAATGAATGAATCATCAGATTTACGAGTATACATGGAGTGTGATTTATTTTGTTTAGTGAACATTATTTTTTCCATTAATATTTCATTGTTTAATTTAGCTCATTAGAATTATGTCACTTTGTGAGAAATAAAAGCGTGCTGTGTGTTTATATGCCCCCAAAAAATACTACGGAGTATTTAATTTCCATTACATATGATGGGTTGTTTCTGGTCAGAAGAACGTTTTCGAATCAAATTTAGTCGTTTAAAGAAATCAGACACTTATTTCGAGAGTTGGGTAAGCACATTATTACCTGTACGGGTAGCTTAACGGTGGTTGAGTGAGGTTGTTGAATGTTGAATTGAGGTTTCAAGTTCAATTCCCGACAACAACATTGAGATCGTTGAATTGAGATCTCAAGTTCAATTCCCTACAGCGGCAGTGTCAATGTTTCATCCAATGTGGTGGCTCCTTGTGCGCACCAGACTCTAAAGTCTGAACCACCTCACTTAGAAACCGTTTGAAATCATACCCTAACTTAATCCTCCACTATTCCATTGTGTCGAGGTGTGAGGGGCGCTTGTAGTGGACGATTTTTATTCAGTCTTTTAATGTCAAACAGCCAAAAACAAAAAGGGTCATTCTGAGAAGTACCCCTTTTTAATTTCATGTTTCTAATGTCTAATTTACCTTATACCTTTACTCATTTGTGTAACGATTTAACCTATTTTACAATTATTTAAGCTAAGACATTTTATCAAGTGCGGAGACTTATAGCTTGATCAATTCATAACCATTACATCAAAATAAGTTCAGCCATTAATAAGAAAGTTTTGGCATTTACAAGTTTAAAAAGGCCTAATTGCCTAAATATGACATGAAGCTTGTGATGATAAATAATTATTAATTTTTCTCAAAAGTGATTAACTAATTCCAAAACTTTAAATCTATTCACGTTTCATTCTCCCTTCAACCGGCATCCATAGTAGACTAGTAGTGCTCGATTTGTTCTAGAGCAAATCAAATACGGATAAATTATAGGAAAAATTGAAAATAATAATCCAAACTATTGCTGGTCCGCTGAAAATAATCCCAACTATTGATTATTTTTGTATAATCCCAACTATATAAATTATCCGCCAATAATGGTCCATTACCAGATATTACCTCTATAAAAAGTGAATTTTAAATAGAAATTAAGCGTAAAAATTAAAAGTTGAGATTATTTATAGGGATTACTTGTTATATCTCATCTTATCCACGTTAGAAACTACAAGAATTTATTCATAGGGACCATTATTGGCGGAAGGTCCCTAAAGTTGGGATTATTCTGGAATAATCAATAGTTGGGATTATTATAAACGGACCGCCAATAGTTGGGATTATTACTATCAATTTTTCCTAAATTATACTGCGTATCACGCATATACGGATATATTAGTGTATTACACATATACATAGAAGTTTAAACTTCTTTAGTATATAATTTTCTAAATCTAAATGTGATTATGAAAGTAGTAAATCAAATATCAAGCCCTCAAATGGAACCCGAGCCTCATTGCCCTCATGTATAAAGCTTATCAAGCTTCGAAGTTTGAAATCTAACCCGGACGCCCCTTTTACCAAATCGAGCTAAACTTACACTCACGATGTTCCAAGATTGACTCAGTGCGTTAGTACCCTCAATCTGTAAGATATAAGTCAAAATTCATCATAACTATCACACATTACAAATAAAGAACGACAATAGTCATGTATAAAAAAAATAGTCAAAGTAAAAAAACGTGAACCAATTGTGGAATTTGTGCGCTACTAGTAGTAGGACAAAAGGTGTAATTTATTCGATGAAGAACTAACTACCTTGACAACACAAAATGGAGTAACCGAGTTCATCATAGACCTCAGATAAGTTTTTCAGGTTTCTATTGTTCATATTTACATTATGTTAATAACTCCAAGTCTCCACCACTCAAAAAAACTGCAAGTCTCCAACTATGTATAATCCGTTCAAAGAAAACTATGTATAATCAAGTAATTTGGAATACACATACAATAACAATTCATAGATGCAAGACTTATTCCTCTTTGAATGCACGATCTTAAATTAGAGGGCTTTAGTGATTATTTTTGTAACGAAGGGTTACGTTAAAAATAGTCCAAATTTAATCATCATAGAACTACTCTTGGAGATGATGAAAACAAATGCAGAAAAGTAAGAAAACTAACACAGAAGAGACTAGTTCGATGTTGCATTTTCAAATTAGGAAAGTCTCCAAGGTTGCATTTTATGTAAACAAAAGTTTGTATAATCATCTCTCGCTCTCTTTATCTTATTTTGGCTGGTATATGAAAGTAAAGCATACATGATCATCGCTCTTCACGACTCCACTCCACCTGCATCACAAAGATTTACCGTAGTTCTGTATTAGTATCATTTGTCCAAAAAAGGGCAGAAGAGTCAAGTGTAATACAGTTACAGAAAGTACACTATCCAAGACAAGTACAAAGTATATCATTTTGGTGAAAGTCAACACACGGTCAAGGTTCAATACTTTACCACAATCCATAGTATATATATCCAGAATTTTAACAGACGAGACAGAACTACGTTATGGAGCTCCATGATATCATTTTATTTCATCTCTATTCATTTTGGCGGTGCTAGGAGGTATCACTAAAAATGATTGAAGGTGATGATGATAATATCACTAATGTAATCACAATCTCTATTAACAGAAATTTCTGATGATTCATGACAAAATCAAGTTATAAAATGTAAAACCAGGGAAGGACGAAATCAACAGTTTTGCCCCCGTTTGAACTTAAAATTCAAATTCAAAGTGTCTTTGTATACAAGCTTTCTGCCTATTTATTTATTTATTTATTTATTTGATGATGTCTGCAACAAAATATATGATGCATCGACACAGTTACATATGAGTTTTGTTTTTAACCTTAAAACTTTGAATAGCATGGAAAAGATGTTTAATGAACATGGATTATTACTCTAACCTGAAATTATCTATTGGATCCTGTGAATAGCTCAAACAGTCCACAGCAAGTCTTCCATGATGTTCTCTCTCGTGGTTGCACTTGTACACCTGAACCCGCCACCAGAAGCTGCACATTGTTTTAAAACAGATAATTGTTTGAATTAAAACATGAACTTCTATCATAAACTCTTTGAAGGCTTCCATTAGTTTGCAAGAATAAGTTGATAAACCAGATGCTGAGATTTTTTGGTACATCAAGCCGTTTGTTGAAATAATGAAATTCTTGAGATAGATGAAATTGCTGAATTATGAAAACAATATCTTTAACATGTTTCGATTTATACAAAATATAGAAAAGTGGGTTGAAATAAATAAAAAAAAAAGCTACAATGATAATTGTAAGTATCTTGAGTTAAAAAAGTACATCCAGCCCAAGTTTTCTTTCATTATTAATTCATTCAGCTTGGGCCGTAAAATAAGTTACTCTACATCAATTATATTCCTAATAAGCTGGAATAAGTGGCTACAAAACGACCAGTCAATATATAATTCATCCGTCACAAACTGAAGTCCCTGCTTTGACTTCTACGCTCTTCAGTTGATGTTTGACCACTATTATTTACAATCTACTCTTATAAAGCCTAGCATAGGTTATTAAAAAAAAATACCGAAGTGTATATATTTAAAAAATGGTTCGGAAGTATTTTCATGCTTTAAACAAAATATAGTTTTTGAATAATTAACTATCAAAGTTAACAAAGATAAACTCGTAAAAGTCAAAGAGGGAATTTCTTTTTTAGAAGAAAGGAGTACAGTTCTGTAAACAGAGGGAGCCTGAAAGTGAAAATTTAAGGACCTGAGTATCAGAGAAGTGAAGAACATCAGATATTTTGACCGCATCAGTCCCATTACTTATAATGCTGGGAATATGATCATGTGGTGGTGATGGTGGTGGAATCGATTGCACTCCATTTTCTTGAGTTGCAGAATCTTTGACAGCTTCTTCAATCCCCTCCTTAATTGGTGATCCCATCTCCGCCATAACTTCCGACACAGAAGCACCATCATCATTATCTACACACAAGTTCTTCATTTCTTCAACATTATTAATAAGCCCAGATTCGATGGTTATCACAGCCGCCACATCAGAATCTTTGACAGCTTCTTCAATCCCCTCATTTATTGGTGATCCTATCTCCGCCATAACTTCCGACATTGAAACACCATCATCATTATCTTCAGCATTATTAATGAGATCAGATTCAATGGTTATCTCAGCCCCCACATCGGAATCACAATGTTCAACTAAGCCAACTTCTTTAACCAAACCAACGCCAGGAGGATAATTAGCTACTATGCTATTGTTTTTGTTGACTTCATCATCATCAGCATCATCACAACCAGAACTGTTACTACTCTTTGACCTCTTCAATGAACTTTCAAATTGAACAGCATCATCATTATCTACACGCAACTTCTTCGTTTCTTCAACACTATTTATAAGCTCAGTCTCAATGGTCATCGCAGTCGCTACATCGGAATCACAATGTTCAACTAAACCAACTTCTTTACCCAAAACAACATCAGGAGGATAATTAGCTTCTATGCTTTTGTTTTTGTTCGCACAACCATCACCGTCATCATCAGCTTCATCACAACTAGAACTGCTACTACTCCTTGAGCTCTTCAATGAGCTTTCAACTTGAACATAAACTTCCTCTCCCAATTGCTCATCGCCTTTAATTGGCGACACCTCACTGGATTGCACAACCAATAAACTACTATCTTCTTCTACCTCCATGATATTACCTTCTTGAGATGCACGGGAACAACCCTCCCCTCCATCACTATCTGTTTCATTGTGATCATTCCCCAAATCCTCTTCCCCTGCCATAGTTTCATTCATCAAGAACAAATTCAAGTAAAAGAAACACACCCAGTTTTCTCAATATAACACATAGACATTACATACAAAATTGATTGACAGAAAATGTTAGTCCCACATCAAATAAGTAAAGAGGAAAATGATTGATTAATGAGACATTGGATTTGACTTAACAATGTGATTTGGGTCAAGTCCCTAGTTGAGTGACCCAAACAATCCTGGATTTTACAACTAAAAAACACCATGAACAGATACTTTCCAGCAAACCACAGAGGTGTAAATATTTATTAAAAATAAATAAAAATAGTACTACCAGAGAGTGGAAGGTGTGAAGAGGACACAACTCACGCAAATTTAAAGAGATACCCACAGAAGCAGAGTGGGAGACAGAACAACAGCTGTAAAGGGTGCTTTCAGGATAAGAGAATTATTGAAAGCCAGATGGAAATGGGATAATGAAGAATCATAAAAGACAAGTCTTTGTAGTTATAAGCAAACATATACCAGTGTTTTTGGGTTGATTTGCGGAGCTGGGCATGTGGGAGGAGGCCCCCTTAACTTTCGATCCCTTCTTTTTCTTGGCATCTTTTCGCTTCTTGGGCATGGTGATCTGGAGAGTTTTTCTGGACTGATTGTGGTATTGCTGACGGATGGATGAAGTAGAGCAGCAAGGAAGGAGTAGTGAGGTGTCTCTCGAAACTCCATGAGTTGTTTGTTTCTATCGCTTGGCCTTGGTTTGTCGGTGTGGCACGGGGCAGGTGGGTCAAGGAAATCTAGTGTTTTTGCACTCAACCCACAGTAAAATACACATTTTTGTATACATCTTTTTGTACACTCGTTTGTCTCACTTTTGAGAAAAATGTATGTTCACACATAATTTTATTATGGAATTGCCTCTTATTTGTTTCACCCTTTGTACGTAGTAGTTTTTAAAAATATTTAGAAGTAATTCATTTTCAGTTTATCGCTTTATGAGTTAGACTTTGGAGTTATTTTTTGATTTCATTTTGAAGTTTGTTTCTATCGCTTGGCCTTGATTTTCTTTACTTTATTAGAAAATACGATAGTACATTTTAAATACAATATTGTTTTTCCATAGTTAAGGATATTTAGTCAACCTCAATCACTTTAATCAAAATTTTATCAATTTTAGTATATTCAGCCAGTTTTGTCAATTCCAATGTTACCAAATGAACTCTTAATATAATTCTTTTTCCAAGTTTCGATTATTCTTTTTCCAATTTGATAAACTATGATTAACAAAGTACTTCATTCATCCCAAATTTTAAATTCAACCTTCATACATTTATTAAGGGGAAGACATTTTTATACATATAAAAGAATAAATTCCATTTTTGGTCCTACGAGTTTTAGACCAATTCCACATTTAGTCCACATCTTTCACTTTGTCCACTTTTGATACACGACTATTGTATTTTCCCCCATATATGGTCCTTCCGGCAATAATTTCGTTGGTTAAAATCGCCGGAAAAGAACCACAAATGCATTTGGTTACAAACATTAGTCAAGTTTTAAGATGTTTATTGTATATTCTTAAAACAGTTTTAGCCGTATCAGAAATTTAGCCAATCAGAAATTTAGCCGTATGTTTTTTGTTTTGAAAATTCTATTCCTATATGAAAAGATGAAGGAAAATTCTTGGTTTACATGTTCTTATACACACACCAGTACACCTCCACGTCTGTGAGAGTTTTTTTGTCTGTGAAACCCAGTTCACAGACAAAATCGGCTTGTTTTGTCTGTGGAAAATTCTTCTGACAAAACAAGCCAGTTTTTGTCGGTGGGTTGGTATTCACAGGCAAAAAAAACTCACACAGACATGGAAATATAGTGATGTGTATAAGAACGTGTACACAAGGAACTTTTGAAAGATGAAATATAGAATCACTTCTCACCAACTTTGTGTCAGTACTTCTCAAAAATTGAGAAAAATGTTGGAAAAAAGTGTGTTAAATTGCATTAAATGGTCATTTTGGGGCAATTTTTTGAGCGGGGTCCACTTCCGATTTGGGTCGGGTCAAAGTGGTTTCGGATTGTCCTTGCTTAGGGCTACAATTCGATATACGGTACGCTCAAAACGGATAACGGGTGAATGAGAAATCGTTTTTCGAAGTTTACCCGTTGGAATGGAGAAAACTAGGAAAAGGTGAGTTTTTGGTATGGTTTTTCCCACACCGAAAATCACAAGGAATTTGCAACCCTTTATAAGGGAAAACCCCCCCTAAGGAGTTAAGATTCCTAAAGGAAAAGGCTCTCTCACGCGCGCAGGGGGGGTGCGAATCAAATCCCAAACTGAAGAACAAAAAGCGCGGTACGTTAATCCTAGCTTCTAAAGATAACGTTAATTTTTGTTCTTCCGGTACGTTCCTATTTTATTTTTGCTCCATGCTGAACTGGAACGTTGCAACATAAATGCCCAACGTCTTTGTACCTTAATGCAGCGGGTTTGGACAGCTTGCTTGGAGAATCAATGCCAGCATGCTGCCATTGAAGTCCCAACGTTCATATGAACGTTTTGGGCTGTTTATTGGCTGGAATCAATGCCCAACGTTTAGGACATTGATGTCCAACGTTCACAAGCCTTAAACAGCCATTAACACACCATAATCCACCCCTATAAAAGGCTAGTAGGTGCTTTGCTAACTACACACGTTCATACACTTCGTGCACATATTTTCAGAGCTAAAACAAACACCTCTAGCATTCCACAAAAACTCTCTTGTGTTCTTGCTTTGTTCACGTTCGTGGGAACTTTCGTTTGAGTGCTCAAACGCTTGTTCGTAGTCATCGTATCCTGGGAAACGATTCTTGCAACGCTCCTAGCACCCCGGGAGGCAACGAATACGTTTTAAGGAAATCGTGCTGCGTAGCACGAGCTTTGGCTTATTCTGTTTCATCTCATTTCTTGTTTTCTTTACGTCATTTTGTTTAATTAATTTTTTATTAATTAATTTTCTTTGTTTTTCGAAACACACCCAACAAAAAGATGTTGCCAAAAATAATGAGAAAAAGATATTGCTTTGCTTAAAAGTTTCTTTTTTTTTCAACTGATTCTTTAGTTTGTGTTTAAGAACTGCCAATTTGGGTTGGACTGATTCTTTACTGTACTGCTTTAGTGAAAAGCTTTTTTCAAAAGCCGTTCGGTACCGTTTCATTTTGAAACGGGACGGTACAATGTCATACCAATACCAAACAATGCCACTTTTTCAAGTGTTTAAGAGGAAATTAAAGTTTATTCATCCTTCAAAAATCGACACAATTTATCAATTTTTATACTCATTTTATCCCAATTGACATGCAAAGTCAATAATATTTTTGTCAACCATGTTAAAGTTAAATTCTCTTTATTGATACTTGATTTATTTTTTAATAATTAAAATAAATATATTAAGAAACTATATTGAAATCTCTTCAAGGTTGCAAGCTCCAAATTAAATATAATTAAAAAGTGACATTCTAGTTAAGTGAATAAAATGAAACTGTTTGACCAAGAAAAGTTAATTTTGCAAATCAATTTGGGATGAATGTAGTATTTTACATAATTAATAAATTTCAGATAAATTATAGTAGTATAAATATAAATAATTAAACCATACATCGGTCCGATTCCAGGCTTCCTATGAATTAGCAAAGACGGTGAAAGTGTGAAGACAATAGTCAAAGTAAGGGTATAAATGTAAATTTAAATCATTGAATCATACTTTGGTCCGGTTCGGTGCAGTACCGGTTCTCATTTTATGAGAACCGGTCATGGCATTGTTTAGAATCGGTATGATTCAGTTAGGGACAAAAAAATTGAAATCTGTTTCAAACCCCATTTTTCGGTCCGGTACCATACCGGTTCGGTTCGGTACCATGCCGGTTCGGTATTTTTGCCCGCCCCTAGTTTTTTGGTGAAGTAATCGATCAAATTTCATTCGTTATAACAGCCCATCAATCGACATTCGAAACCTAACAACTCGATAATGGATTTTTTTATATTTAAAATAGAATTTATTTAAATATGCACAACTATTACATATTTATGAAAAAAAAACAGCCCATCAATCTCCGTTCTAACTCCTCTTCCTATTTCGGTCGGGAAATTTGTAAAATTAGTCCCGTAACTTTTGGTGGTGCCCGATATTGGTCCTCTAACTTCATTTACTTGCATAATACGTCCTCTAATTAACATATTTGTCCAATTTCAGGACATTTATGTCGGAAAGTAATAATTCCGCCAGAAATTAACACATCAGTGCCACTTGTTCAATTTTTTTTCATATGGCCTAGCTGACCTGGACTTAGGGGTGGGCACGGTCTGGGACGGTCCGGGATTTGGCTTATTCCGATCCCGTCCCGGTTTTATAACAACGGTCCGGTTCGGTACGGGATAAGTCTTTATCCCAATGTTGTCCCATTTAAAACGGGACCGGGACAACCCGAGAAAAACCGGGACGGTTCGGGAGGTCTCATAAAATATGCATTTGTGAAATGTGATAAAGATAAGCATAACATCAATATAAAGATGTAACTATTTTTGCAAATTTAGCTTCCCCAAAAAGTTAAGTAAAATCTTTAATGAACTATTTTCAATTTTGTCTTGTAAATTTTTTGGTTTCCTCTAGTAGAATAGTAGCGCAACATATTTTTATACTTTGTAGTACACTTGTAATTTTTCAATACCACATTAAATTAAATATCATATCTATAAAGACACTATTAATATTTTCTAGTAGTTATTTTGGAAAATATTAAATCTATAACAACACTATAATTTGGAGTAGTAGTTATTCCATCATAAATATATAGTATTCTGCACGTAATAATATATTATGGATTAGTATTGGAATGAGAAGTAAACAAATTTTAATCAAAAGAAACAAAAGAAATGACACTAAGAGAGACATGAAATAAGATAAAATTACACTAGGGAGACTAAGGACTACTCCCTCCGTCCCTAATAACTTTGCCAAGTTTGACCGGCACGGGGATTAATAAAGTAAAAACTGTGTGGTTGAGGTTTGTGCAGAGGAGAGAGAATTAACTGGAACCACAAATTCTTTACTTAAATGGGAAAGTGGCAAAGTTAATGGGACATCCAAAAAAGGAAAGTTGGCAAAGTTATAAGGGACGGAGGGAGTAGAATGTTTTAATTGGGTTTGACTATTACATAGCATTAGAAATTTAAAATAACATATTAATTTCTAACGGGACAACGGGACGGGACATGATATTTTATAGCTATCCCGGTCCCGTCCCGTTCAATATCGGTGCGGGACCGGTTCGGGATGAAAAAATTGCGTCCTAAATGGATCAGGATAGTTTCGGAACAGTATCTGGATTTTTCGGTTTGGGACACCGGGACCGGGATTTTTGCCCACCCCTACCTGGACTTGAGACCATGTTTTTGGTTCCCTCCCAAACACTCCTTATTTTAAAACATCCTGCACATAAAGAAAACACTCTCTGATTCGTAAAACATTAAAAAAAAAGCTAGATTCAACTGAATACGGAGTAGTAGATTATACATCTTCAATTTATTTCTTATAAATTCCAAATACGAAATTGTAAAAATGAACATAAAGAAAAAACTGCACTTAAGGCTATTTTTTTTTAAATTCTTGACACTTATTAATTTTAAAAGCCTCCATTTGTAACCATAGAAACGGTCCAGGTAAAAGACAACTCGATAATTTTTTTAACGAGTAATACACATGGAACCTACAAAATTTTTCTGGAACACACATGGAACCTACAAAATTTTTAATTTTTTAATTTTTAATTTTTTTCAAGCAAAATTCGAAACCTACAAAATTAAAAAGTTTAGAGTTCTTACTCTGTTTCTGGAACACACATGGAACCTCCTTCCCTCGTCATATATCAGTCTATGAAGTTAAAACACCGGCCTTCTTATCACAATGATATTCCATAGATCCTTGCCTGAGCCATTATTTGCACTTTAGAGGAACACACACTCACCTTCCTTCCATATGTGGAGAAGCCGGATCAAGAATAACGAAGCCTCCGTTCTTCTGTTAGGTTTTGTGCTTCTATTGTTCTAATGGGAGATTTGGGAGATCAGAGCACAATGAAGTGTTTGGGAATAAGTCATAAAAGGGGCCCACATCCAAGTCAGGTGCAAACGTTAGGAAAAGATTACAACAACGGGAGATTGACATGTAACTCTCCGGCCAAAATTTAACTTTCCGACGACAATGTCCTCAAATTGAACAAATATATTAGTTGAAGGATGTATTTTGCAAGTATGTAAAGTTATAGGATCAATATTGGCTATTAGCCAAAGTTACAGGACTCTTTTAACAAATTTCCCTATTTCGCTCAGGGTAATCCATTTTAGTTAAAAAGCTGGGAATAAGTTTTAATTTGAATCCAGGTATGATTCTCATCTCTGCTCTTTGATTTGAGATTATATCTAGGGCTCCCTACTGTTCTTTTCATCCGTTTTTTTCTGTTAACTCAGCACTCCATAGAGATTCATCACTACTTTCTCAACTCCATTCCATTTTTGTTGCTTTCTATCGCAGAACATCCATTAATCCTTTCTTGCATTGGTAATCACTCAAGGATGGTAATTTATACTTATTCTCACTATTTCGTTTTTAAAATTCAATTTTTTATTTGTGCATTTTCGTTTAATCTGCCTTTTATTTGTGAAATTCATCTAGATGTGAACTGAATATTGATTATGTGAAATTCATCTACATGTGATTTCTTTTGATTGATTAAAATATCATTGGTTGCCTTTCTTTTAGGAACACTTAAAACAAATGCAGCATGATCCCATGTTGCCACTTCTACTTTCATCTGAATAGATATAATCATTTACGCTTATCTTTTGATTTCTTCTTTAAAAAAACAAGTTGCAACTATATAGACTTTTATTCTTATTTTGAATAAATAATTGAATGACTCAGCTGCACAAATGACTTATTTTATAGATTTCACCTTTATTTCTTTATTCACAGTTGTGGTATGTGAAAGGTTATTATTTTATTCCCCATGCATCTCAGCTTCATTTAGAGATTAGTGATGAAAATTCTACAGGATTATAATGACTTCTTTACCCACTCGATTTCCATTCCATTCATAGTCTTCAAGATTCACAGTTTTTAGATGTAAACCAATGTAGGTGAAATGGGCAACTACAAGATCTTTATTATTCAACGTTTTCATCATCTTCATATCCATCGACATTGAAAAGCTCAGACACTCATACATTCCTCTCATTCATAGGACTCCCTATTCATTTTAATCCAGGTATGATTCCATATTAGATTCATAAAATAAACATTTGCCTGCCTTTGGATTCAATTTCAATTGGTGCTGAAAGAATATCACTATATTTCGTAGGATACAAAGAAGCCACAGTTTCTAACATTCCATATCCCAAGGTTGATCACCCTGTGAGGACCCAACAGAAGCAAGTAATTCAAAAGGAAAAAGGTTTGTGATCACAACTCAGAAAACCGTATGATACAAGTCTAAAGTTGGAGGATGAACTTTGACATAATAAATTCTGAGCTTTTGACCTGCATTTTATTTGTCAGAAAACCTCCACTTTTACAATGATCTAATAAAACTAACTTAAAGTTAAAGAACTAGAACGCTTATGCCATTCTTGGATGCTTCTTCTTATATGATTTTGCAAAGAGAGGAATATAGTTGTTATGTTTTTAAGGTATATTATGTTTCATTGCCATTCTGAATATCTTATGTTTTAGGGCATAAGAGATTTGCATATAAAAAAACCAACCGTTGATTTAAGAAAGATTATCACAATGTATCTTATCACTATTTCTAAATGACGTGGGTCTCTATAGGTTAAAAATATATTTGGTGGTTGCTATACAAAATTGTTTTTGTATGCCTAGCTCTCTGATCAAATAACGTTACTATTCCTTTGCAATATTGAGTTCATTAGAGATGTGTGTGGCGTGATTAGGTATGATTCAATTTGTTAAAACAAATAACAACATTCAAGTATTGACTTAGCTTGCTAATTACAGGAGCCTCAAATGCATAGTGGTGTGTCTTCCTTCTCACTATGTGTCCAGTTGTCCACAATACATTTTTGTTTCTGAATTTGGCAACTTTCTACTTAGTATGATTTAGTATTACTATTATTATTAGCAATCTGATTGAAGTATATATTTTGTCACCCTGGTTCAATGTAGCCTGCTATCAAGAACATTAAATTTTCTTTCCATCTCACCAGGGATTTAAGATAAATCATATTCCTCTCTTTGTCTAATGCAATTTGTCGATTTCTTTTTTAACATATTTGATATTTGGATTTATTATATATTTTCCTTTGGGATTTTAATTGTTGACCAAACTTTTTCTTTTGGAACCCATGTGAAAATAATCGATGCAAGTGTATTCAACTTTAGTACCCTATTTCAAATGATAGACCGTAACTTATGAGTTTTTCCATAAAAATCTTAGTGCCCTGTTCATAAGCCAGACTTGAAAAAGGATATAGAAAAAATTATGATCTCCTACACAGTATGGTGGGAGTTGAGACTACTTGAGAGAACAAAAACAGATTTATACTACGAATTAAGGACTCCACTCTCTTTGTTTACCACTCTTTGCTTACCCACCCTAAATTTTGAATAGAGCACTTGAGGAACAGGATTTATACAGAGATGAAATTACCAATTAGCTTCTCTTTTCAGATAAAACTTTGTCCTATGGCACCTCACTTACTGGGAGTCTAGGACTTTATACCATACTGAGTGGAGTCTGTATAATGTGCAGAGAGTAGGGTTTATTTGCTATTAATTTAGAGTGTTATTTGTGCAAACTGGACTGGATAAATTGGGTGCACTAGAGTGGGACAAGGTTGTTAATGATCATTAAGCTGGAGACTTATCATTTGTATATGGCTGCATGCAGGGGTTATCCATTTGCTAGCTAACATGGTGAGCTTGATTTATTGGGAGTCTTCTTGAGCAGCAATTTGGATTTGGTACAAGTTTGTATTTGGTAGTGACATCTATGTAAATGTATATGTAGTATTAAAATAAGTTTGGTTTATCTAATAATTGATTATTCATTCATTTTTGATGGATTAGATTCTAATATATGGTGGAGGATGTTTCTAATTATGTTTGTGGGCATGTCAATCTTAACTCTTCTCACAAACATTCACAGTGAATGATACGGAGTATCATTAGTTCAAGGTTATTAGAGACTGTCGTTTGTGCAGGTATGCATATACATACCAGATAAATTAAGGTTTACAATACATCATTATCATTGTGGTAGATTAATTTAATTTGAGATAAACTTTCAAATCGTTATATGTTGTTCTATATATTGGGTTTTGGTGATGAATTTTATCTGTTGAATTTTACACTGGGCGATATGTTAATTAATTAAAGCTGAAGTGTTCTATCGAATGTGTTTAATTTATGTAGTTACATTTCATTAGGTGTGTTTAAATGTTTAATTGTCTCGAGTTTTATGCGTGAAGCCCTTTTGGAAACTAAGAATTATACTCGGTAATAAATTTGGGATAAAGTTCAAATTTTTTTACACTGTATTTTATAAAATCTGGGTTTTAAAATTATGGTGTAATTATACTCACAATTTTTGCCAATGTATATTGTTTTGACCAAATTTTATAAACGTCTGTTCGTTTTAATTTCAAACTCAAATTAGAAACTACTCCGTAATATGTAATTTGAGTCATCCAGTGCTTCTTCAAAGATTTGTAATATACCATATTTTGATAATAGAAGTTATTCAATATAGGACCAAAATATGAGTAAAGTTGAAAAATAAGATTACATATATTTTATTTCTCAAATAGAACTTATTTAGTGTTATCAAAAGAATAATTTAGGATTAAAAGTTTTCAGAATATAAGTGAATAGTCTTATATTGAGAATAATACAGTGGTAGTACTATTTATAAACTTTGTCGTTCTTTTAGTTGTATTTGGATCATTATCATTTCTCTTGGTTCCGATATGATTAGGGGTGGACTTGGGCCGGGTAGCCTGACCCGGAACCGGGCCGGCCCGGCACTGTTTGGGCCCGGCCCGAACCAGTGGCCCGGCCAGGGACCGGTTCGGGTAGGCCCGGCCCGGGGGTTTACGGTCCGGGCACGGGTCACCCAAAACACGAACCGGCCCGACCGGTTCGGGCCCGGTTCTGGGCTCTTTTTTTCAATTTTTTTTATTTTTCTGGTTGGGCTGGGTGTTTTGGGCCATTTGGGGTGGTTTGGAGGGTGGGTGGGAGGTGGGGGGGGGGTCGGGGATTAATTAGAAAATTAAGAAATACATACATACATACATACATACATACATACATACATACATACATACATACATACATACATACATACATACATACATACATACATACATACATACATACATTTTTTTTTTGAAAAATAGGGCAATTTGATAAAATTAAAACGATAGGAACAATAGGATGATAAGCGATAACAAAGATTCAAACTACTCTCTTGACAGAGAGAGCTGAATACCACACGTTCTGAGCCCATAACAAAATAGAGTACTAGAGCAGTCATATTTACTACTCCCACATAAAAGAGTTGCCCTTGGAGAATCTACTAGGGGATATATAGCAGCAAAACACCATTAAAGCAACAAGTAAACAGGGTGACTTGAAGTTCACTCAAATGCCCAAGCATTCTCCCTTCTGACCTCCTCTTCTTCCTCTAGTGTGAAGTCATTCTTGATGTTAAATGTTTTGCGGATCTCCTCTGGAGTCTTCCCCTTGATCATGTCAGCAACAGTTTGACAGGTGAGATCAAGCAAGCTCTTTATGTTAATTGGCAGCCAAGATGAGATCGAATAGGGTTCCCTGGTCAACTTTGACGAACTCAGCATCGAACGACTTGAGGTCGTCCTCGCTAGGCTTATCCTCTGACTTACCAGCCTCGACATGGCGTTTGCAGTACTCAATGACCTTCGCGAGAATCTTGCTGGTCACGTTGGGGAGGGGGATGACAGTATCGGCGCAGTCGTCGTCAATCATGTGCTTGATCGTCTGAGACTGCTCAGCCACCATCACTTCGACCTCGAAGGTCTCGCCGTCGGAGCTCTTGAGGACTATCATCTTTGAGGTAGACATGGTGGAGATGGATTACGAAGGTCGGATCTAAAAATTTATAGCCCTAAGAGAGGGAAAGAACGATAGCGCTGGAGAAATAAGCTGTCTACATACATACATACATATATATAGACACACACATATATATACATACATACATACATATATATATATATATATATATATATATATATATATATATAGAAAAGATCCTGTCCAGACGTCCGGACAGGAGCCGCCGTCCGGCCGGCGGCGTTTGGCCGCCTTCCCGGTGGAATTTTTTGATGAAATTTTTATGGCATGTTCTCCATCAAGTCTAGTTTATCCACAAAAAAATTCAGCCAAAAAATCAATCGGGAAGGTCGTCAAATGATTTTTGCAAGTTAACTGGTCCGGAATATGTATTTTCCGGACCAGTTAACTTGCAAAAATCATTTGACGACCTTCCCGATTGAGTTTTTGGCTGAATTTTTTTGTGGATAAACTAGACTTGATGGAGAACATGCCATAAAAATTTCATCAAAAAATTCCACCGGGAAGGCGGCCAAACGCCGCCGGCCGGACGGCGGCTCCTGTCCGGACGTCTGGACAGGAGCATTCCTCTATATATATATATATATATATATATATATATATATATATATATCAAGTGGCCCGAGGCCCGGCCCAAGTCCACCCTAGCTCCGATTATTTTGATTTTGTCTGTATCGGTAAAAAAGAATCAACTTACAACTTAGTGTTGTATGTGGTGCTGGACTCGGGCCGGTTCGAGCCCGGGCCGGGCCGCCGGTTAGGAAATGTTGGGCCCGGGACCGGCCCAGGTAGCAGCCGGGTCCGGGCCGGGCCTCTTACATTTTTTTTCCTTTTTCTAATTACCCCCGACCCCCCCCCCCCCCCCAACCCCTAAACCACCCCAAATGGCCCAAAATACCTAGCCCAACCCAGGGATTTTAAAAAAAGTTGGGAAAAAAATAAGCCCGGAACCGGGCCCCTGATCGGCCTTGCCAGTTCATGTTTTGGGTGACCCGAGCCCGGACCGGTCACTGGCCAGGCCACCGGGTCGGGCCGGGCCAGAACAGAGCCGGTCCCGGGCTGGTTCCGGATCGGGTCACCCGCCCCGAGTCCACCACTAGTTGTATGAACAATGAGAGTTTGTTTGGTAAAATTGAAATTGGTCAATTAAATCTGATGAAATTGATTGAAAATTGGTTGAAAAGTTGACCCGCTTAATTATGGAAAGATTATATTTAAATTATATTTTATTAAAAAAACGTTATAAAAAGTAATTAAAATAACCATTTACAATAACTTCAACAAATTTTATCAGAAAAGTAACTTCAACATTACTTATTTTCAGTTTGACTTGACACACTTATTAAGAAAGTAAGAATTTAGTGAAAATGTATTATTCTGGTTGAGTACAAAAATGCAAATGAATGTTAGGTACACAAAATTTCCAAAAAGGGAAATGAGAATTTTTTTCGGGACATCCTGAAATGATAAGTCGAAATAATTTTGTGGAACGGGACGAGTAATTGTGAATTGCATTCCATCCTATGCAACGCACGGGTGAAAATGGTAGATCCCCTTCAACATACATAAGCTTAGATTCAACATCTTCTTTTGACTGAGACAGTGCACCCCTTCAAGAGATCCACTCTCTAGAATCTCTCAATACCACGAAATGCTCCGGTGTGCCAAGTCATGAGCTGAAGCTGAATATGGGTGCACATGTGATACTGATGAGGAATATATATCATTCCTCCGGATTGTGTTATGGCACTCGCCTCATCGTCACTAAACTTGGAATCCATATTCTCGAGGCTCAGATGATGTCTGGAATAAATGCAGGACAAAAATTTCTTATTTCGAAGTTGAGCTTAACTCCATCCAACCTAAAGCTACCGTTCACATTTGAATGTAGGCAGTTCCCTTTGTGCTTCGGTATGCGATGACCATTAATAAGAGTCAGTGACAATCTTTGGAGAGGGTTGACATTTTCTTACGTCGTCCGGTTTTCCTCCACGGATAACTTTATGCTGCGGTCTCAAGAGTAACGTCCACGTATGGGTTGAAGTTTGTTATATGTGATGATGAAAAACCGGTCAAGAAAACTTTAAATGTACTTTACAAGGAAGTATATCATAATTTGTAATTTTTTTATCTTCATTTACTTTTGTTACAAACAATATATACGTTGATCTATATTTATCACAACGTTTCTTTATATTCTCAAATTATATATTGTTTACCAATTGCATCTCGTGCGAAGCACGGGTGAAAATCTAGTAGTCTAAAATTGACAAAACAGAATTGAAAAATCAAAAGGTTAAAAATGAAAACGAAAACTAACTGGGACATAAATGATATGCGGTCCACAAAAGTGGACCATTCTGGTAATTTGCACATAAATATTTATATTAATCCAACATTCTAATCTTTTATTAACCAAACAGTGGTTCCATCTCCCCCATGTTTATTTCGGAGATTACATGACTGGGCTTGCAGTAGTACGCATGCCGGCCGCCCATAACAGCTGTGGCAGTTATGATTACAAGGTGGCTTTCATTTTGTCTTCCCAATGATTGGGGAGAAGAGGATTTTTATTGGGGACAATTGGAAGTTTAGAATCCCAATTTATTGTTCAAAGTCAAGTGCATGGAGTGATAATTCATGGTATCCATATCCCATACCTGCCACCAGTAGGACCCCTAAGCTTTTCGTTAACCCAATTACTTGTAAATTTGTAATGGAACTATTTATTGGTTAAATTGCGATGATATTCCTGATTGCATCATTGCCTTCTGAAGGCTCTATCGACTCTTTCATTTATTTGCTTTAGTTGTAACCAATGTTGAAAATATCTCTCAGTTGTAGATTTAACACTTCACTGTTTTGCACTTGATAATATGGCTATCACAAAAAATAATATGGAGTATTATGCATGAAACAGTCATGGATGTAAACGTCAACCTTTTGACTTCAAAGAGCACCATTGGAGATGCTCTAAGAGCATCTCCAATGGTGCTCTTTGAAGTGAAGGTAAATTTTGCCAAATGTCAATTAATTAAAGCAATGTTTTTCCACATAAGATGCACATTAAAAGAAATTAATAAAGGATGTCCAATGCATGGTGTTGACCTATTAAATTAACTACCATTTAAAAAAGAAATTAAAACATGTACCGAACTATACTCATAAACGGAAATCCCTACTTTCCGTAAACCTATTTAACTAAATCAAATCATGGGCAGCCATATACGCATGAAACAAGAACGAAGTATCAAAGTTTAGGTATTTAATTCCTCCTATTTGATTCCTGCTTCTTCTACCACAAACCCAACACCTTTCGATAATTAATTTTGATCATGTGTGTATTCTTCTTTTTGTGAATCTAGAAACAATATAGATAAAAATTGATGGCCGTGAATTTATCAATTTGAATGGTTGATGAGAAAAATTGCATATGATTTTTTAATTTGATTTAAATTTGTTACTGTCTTGTTTGTGTTTTCAGTACTATCACATGTGAATTTCAATTGATTTTAACATATATTGATGTAGGAACCTGCTAGTTTGAAGTTAGTAATTGTGTTTTTCTCAATTCATTATATCAAAATTATATTTTAAATTTATGTTAAAATGCACAGCTAATGTCATCAGAAGAATCCGAATTCAGCTCCACTGCTGCATCATCATCAAGCACAGAGTCACTTTCTCTTATCAAGACAATTTTTAGGGATGATGATGAAGAAGCTGACTCATTCATGGTTGAAACTGCCACGGTTCAGGTTCCAATTTTGATGTCAACGTTTTTAACAGGTAAAAAACGTGCACATGGGGGCTCAACTGTTGGTAGACAATATATTTATCGTGATAGGAAAGAACGCCATGATTTGATTAAAAGTGACTACTTCATTGGTGAGAAGTCAAAGTATACTCCAGATAAGTTTCGTCGTCGATTTCGTATGGATATTAAGCTATTCGAGCGAATTTTGCATGCAGTAGAGAATTACGATAATTACTTTACACAAAAGGTTGATGCCGCTGGAAAAATAGGGTTGAGTCCTTTACAGAAAGTTATAGCGGCAATACGAATGCTTGCATACGGCTGTTCAGCTGATTCCCTTGATGAATATGTTCAAATTGGTGAGAGTACTGCAATTGAATGTCTTAAAAAATTTTGCGGTGCTATAATAGGATTGTTTGAAAAACAATATCTTAGAAAACCAAATACGTCTGATATCGCTAGTCTATTAAAAGATAGTGAAGCTCGTGGATTTCCGGGAATGCTTGGTAGTCTAGATTGTATGCACTGGCATTGGAAAAATTGTCCGACTGCTTGGCATGGAACATTTACTAGTGGGTTCAAAAAAGTTCCAACTCTTATTCTAGAGATCGTAGCTTCACATAATTTATGGATTTGGCATGCATTCTTTGGTATGGCGGGTACTAACAATGATGTTACTGTTCTTGATAGATCTCCTCTTTTTGATGACCTTGTTAATGATACTGCACCACCATGCGACTTTAAAATACAAGGCCATCAGTACAATATGGGATACTATCTATCTGATGGTATCTACCCACAATATGCCACATTAATCCAAACTATTTCACAACCCATTTCTATGAAGGAGAAGCTATTTGCAAAATGTCAAGAATCTGTACGGAAGGATGTGGAACGCGCATTTGGAGTGTTACAGAGTCGTTGGCATATAGTAAAAGGTCCCGCTCGCATGTGGAGTGCAACCGATTTGGGAAAAATAATGAAGACGTGTATCATCTTACACAATATGATTATTGAAAGTGAGGTTGCTGAAGGCATCAATCCAGAAAATTGGCGGCCAGAAAGTGATGAAGCAGTAGAAGATATTACTCCAGAGCATGATTTTACTTATCTTATGTCTAGGATAAATGGTAGAATGAAACAAATACAAGATAAAAGAGTACATAAAGATCTAAAACGTGATCTTATCAACCACCTATGGGAATTGTATGGTGGTCAAAGTGAAGATTGAAGTGTCTTTTTTAAGTTATACTCTATCCCAAGTATTGCATGGATTTGATTTTGTGAACTTTATTCAAAGTTTTGTAAAGGATTCTTTAGTGCAATAAATTATAAGTGTGACTTTCACATATTTTCAAATGTTTTATATATTGATCAAATTGTGTATTTTGGGATGAGCTTATGGTGCTTAGTATATCTATTTGATTTTATGTACGAGTAGTTTATTACTCCTTAGTAAATTCTGGGAAGTTTGTGTTTTGTTTTTGCGTAGTAATGATGATGAAATTTGACTTGTTATTTTTTTCTCAATTAACTTAACCCCTATTCATCAATCCCGACAAATAAGACTGCCTCAATTGGCTTTTAACCTCACTCAACTATGTTTAGCTGCAATTACACAGTTACAAAGTCATTTTACATTTTTACAAAATCATAAAAAACTGAGGAACAGAACAACTCTTTTGTTGGCTACTATTGTTACGCTTTGCTGTCAATGCTAAATTTTAAGATTCCTCTTAATATCAAACTCAGTCTAAGGCCAGACATATTCATATGCCCTTGTGCTTTTCCGTGGGGTGCTTTGACATTAGTAGTCTCTAGTTCAAGAACATTAGTACATAGTTTGATTGCCTATTTGTAATCTTTCAATTTGCAATTCCTGGCTGCTCTTCAAATTGCATGATAATTATACAACAAAGCAGCACTTGAAAATTAAGGCCCTCTTTCCCAAATAGTAAAAACCCCAGCAGCCACACATTGAAAATTAAGCACTTGGAATGATACAATAGTAAATCTGCCAATGTAGATAAACAACTAAGATAAACTAAACATGTCACAGATTTTAATTCTAGGTGAACCCACACTGAAAAAGCAAAGTTTACATTCATTCTAAACAAGAAAAGTAAGCCACGACTTAATATGGGTTCAAAACCAAACATAAGACATAAAGTCAAAATATGAAGTATTCAAAATTAAACGTAAGGCAGAAAGACAATATTTGAAGTGTTCAAAATAAATACATAAATAATAAAGAATGCCAATTAATCTAAAAGTTCTTGATCATAGCCTTCAAACGTGATGCCTCTTAAATGCAACCTGCACATGGTGAAACGATAAAAGAGATCAATTTAAATTCTAAATATATTATCATATATATATATATAACAAAATAAATTAAGATCAAATAAACAATTATATTATATGAACACTTACTTTTGTAGATTAGAAAAGGCCATCACTTTCCCATTCCTTCAATATTTTTTCCTGCATAACATCATAAGAAGCTCTAACTGATGGTGACAACTTGCTCAAATCTTGGTTCATAATGCGGTTTTGGTACCGTCTCCTTTGAGCCTTTTCTTTTAATTCAATTTCTTTCATCAACACTTGCTCTCTCATTTGCATGTTTGCTCGATTAACATCAACTTGTTTCTCCAAAGTTGATTGCAACTTATTCAAGGCATCCACCACACCTTTTTCTTCATTTGACCTGCGTTTTTTGTCTTTACAACTTTTCCTTCCTTGTGGTCGAACAATTCCATCTGGGTCAGTTTCTTTTGATGGTGTAAGATCTTCAGGCATAGTACTTGAGCACTCATTCAATGTTGGTGAAATGCCATTATCTGAACTTTGTTTGTTAGATGCACCTGCCTTTGTATGAAACTGTGAACACCACTTTGGATTCTTGATCAATATTTCCCAACAATGAAGAAATTTGAATGGAGTTGCATAAAAATCCTCATATAAGCGTAATGCTTTGATCACCTAATGAAAGTGTATCATGCATAATAAGTCACATTTAAAAATAGGGAAATTTACCGGGATATGACTAAAACTTAATGAGTTTCTCAATCTATGACCTAACTAGTTTTTATACTTTTGTATGACTAAAAATCCAAAAACAAATAGAAAATTCGTTTATATTTAAATGTTGAATGACGAAAATACCCTTATTTAAAATATGTGCATTTTGCACTAATTTCGTCTAATTAAAATTACTGCACTTTATATTTCCGTTAATGCACAAAATTAATGCATGACTTTACTGCACATCCGGTAATAATCACTGCACTTCCCCTAAAATTAATTCTCTTTTTATTCAATTGAAGATTTTTTTAAATTTAATAATTTTACTATTTTACGTCAAATTAATTATGTTGAATTTCTTTATTTTTCCGCCAAAATTAATTCTCTTCTTCAATGCATTCACTCACTGCCCATGTGTTGTACAACACTCTTCCTCAATGATTCTATTTCTCAATGCATTCACTCACTGTCCATCCATGTGCACCGCTATCTAATGCTATGGTCATTGTTCATGTTCATCACTACCTATTGTGATATTCATTGCCCATATTCACTGCACATGCTCACTGAATTGCGTAACATCTGGGCTTTGATCTTCTACCTGTGCTTTGGCTTCAGATCTGATAATCTGTCACACGATTTTTCAATCGATTGAGGAATTTATGGAGTTTTTGTAGAAACTATCTAGGGAGCTTTGTGGAGACCTTAAAATCGATCAACATTATGTGTCCCTTCCCTTGAATCATTACATTTTCTGCCTTCAAATCTATGAGACTATTCCTAATCCGTGAAGATAGTCCAATGCGAGTACCAAATCCATGGCTTAAAATCTGGAGGAACAAAACTAAGCACAATTACAGTCATTATAAAAAAATCTTCAAATCCAAAAATACTGAAATTTACAGATAAAAGACTAACCATTTTCAAACCAATTCAAGAAACGCAAAAAAAACTCGTTCAACCCAATTAGATTTCACATACAATTAACCATGCACAATACTTCATCAATCAATTACTACATCATTACATCCCATCCCAAATTTTGTCAGAACCTGCCCACAACCCTTTAATAGTCCCACTTGAATGAAAAAAATCGAAATAGGAGAAGAAAGTAGATGCAACGAACAAAATTGAAATAAAAACCATGAGAAAGGTGATGGTCTGATGGATCGTTCACGAAGGTCTCAACGGTATGCTACATCTGCAATAAAGAAAGACATATGAGGACGGGTCAAATCGCATATATACCATACGGATTACTGGAGGGTGAGCGGCTAGGCTGCGATGCTACAAGACGGCGGCAGCGGACGTGCGGCGGGATGAGGAGTCGGAGAATGGCAAGCAGCCCTGTGATTAATTATGGTTGGAGAAAAGAGGTGGAAGGTTAGGGTTTTATAAGTATAACCTAAAGGGTATATTAGTCCATAAATATTATATATTTATTAATTAATTACGAAATTAATTAAATTTAATAGATTTAAATATTATTTTGGGGAAAAAACTAGTTAGGTCATAGATTGGAAAGGCGAGGGAGTTTTAGTCATATATGGGGTAATTATCTCTTAAAAATACATTCATGGAGTGGCATGTTTGAAAAGTTTCCATGCCTTAAATCAAATAATTGATACACTGGTCTTGCAATATCATGGAGTATTATAGAATAATAAGAGCTATAATAAATAATTAATAACAAGTGCTAAAATATAACACGACTCTTACCAAGTCCTCCTTATTTGAACCACTTTGTGGACGTCGTTCCAACTGTTCATACTTCGCAACAAATTTACTTACACAAGATCGTATTAGGTGCCAATGACATTGCAGGCTGTTGTTGTTTCTTGATATCTTGTGAGTTGGCCCCATTTTCTCTTTCCAAACTTCTAAGACACGATTCCACATGGCAGCATTTTTCTGATTATTTCCTACATCAGCATCCACGGATATATGGAGCCAGGCCTCTGTCAGTGCAACCTCCTCTTCAATAGACCAATCTTTTTTAAGAATGGAATGCTGGGGAGTAGAAGGTTGAGAAGTATTAGAGTTTTGGGCATTTTTAACTCTCTTTTTTGATGCCTTGATGGGCTCACAACTTTGAGAGGTCACCATGGGTGTATTGACCAGTTCTTGGTAGGAGAATTGATGTGAGTTATGCTGCTCAATATGGAAAGGAAAGGTTCCATTTTTAGGATCCACATGGTAGATGGGTGGCGTAAATTGGTTCATATTGTGAGGTGAGATAGAGTAGGCAGAAGGTGGGTTGAATTGGTTCACACCATGCAATGACATGGTGTAATTGGATGGAGGATTAAATTGGTTCATGTTCATTGAGGGCATGGGGTAACTAGCAGGCTGTGTAGTATTTGTAAACTCAGCCGAGTCTTGTGAATCCATTTATGCTGCTTTGATAAACAAATGAAGCCATGAGTACCATACCAATTAAACAAAGTAATATGGAGCAAGAGATTATTATGATACTTTTACATCCATCACAGTTCATTCTAACCTAATAAACCATAGAGTGGAATCCAAATAATAGCACATTATTCAAATACAGTGAAGTATAACTAGTTCATTCTAAACTATTTAATTGATAGCATTACACGGTTCCTTTTTCATTAAAATCCTAACAGTTAAGTAAAAAGTAGATTACACTTTTCAGTTGGATATAGAGCTGATTTTAGTTCATTTTTTATAAATAGATATTGACAGATGCTGCATTATTGAAGAGGCAAAATCTTGAACTAAAAAAAATGACTAGCATTTCCACAACTACTGTAGTTTGAGATTTCACTGTTTAGCATATTTAGATTTCTCCATAACAAAGACAAAAATAGAGCATAATAATGGTGTGGACTGAATACATAATACACATTATCCACCTACGTAAACACAAAACAAAAACAGCTTGTAATAGTAGTAAAACGAAAAAACACTCAAGCATTCAAGCTTGAAGTATTTCTCTATGTTCTCTGTACCAATATTAAAGATAGATGTGTTTAATTGATTGTTTTATTAGTGTCCCACTCAATCCCAAGTTGGTTTGACAGAATTAAACATGTGGTAAAAAAAAGAACAAAATCAAAGTTGAACAAGCATAGTATACTTTGAAAAGCAAAATCAATAAATGCATATGAAAAGGCCAAGTCCTATGATCCCTGTATGAATTGTAGAGCTAAACTTGGAGTTGTTTAGGTCAAAAATCAAACTGAATGAACTGACTCATACTGCAAAGACTACAATGAAAGCATAAGCTATATGTAAAAATTTAAAAATGAATTGCCCAAAGGCAAGCATGTCCACTAACTGCAAGTTTGAAAAATCTGA